GCTTCAGTTTCAGTTTGGCCACAATCAGGTGATGATCTGAAGCTATGTCCGCTCCTCTCCTGGTTTTCACATCTCTATTGTCCTTCGTAACTTTTTATTGATGCAAATGTGATCTATCTGGTTCTCTTTGGTGTGGTCCGGTGAGATCCACGTAGCTTTGTGTATACGTTTGTGTGGAAATGTTGTACCTCCTATGACCAATTTATTGAATGCACACAGATTTGCAAATCTTTCCCCGTTTTCGTTTCTCACTCCCAGTCCATGCAGTCCCATGATATCTTCATATCCGGTGTTGTCCATTCCGACTTTGGCGTCTAGATCTCCCATCAGAATGGTGAGGTCCTTTCTTGGGCACTTCTCTATGATTGATTGCAGCCTCTCATAGAATTGATCTTTAACGTCGTCGTTGCTATTATTGGTGAGTGCATAACATTGAATAATGTTCATTGTGATCCCCTCCTTCTTTGTTTTGAATGATGCTTTGATGATTCTGGATCCGTGAGATTCCCATCCTACAAGTGCATTTCGTGCTACTTTGGATAGCATTAGAGCAACTCCCTGAGTGTATGGAGCATTTTCCTCTTCGTGACCGGAGTATAGCAGCATCTCTCCCGTATTTAGCCTTTGTTGTTCAGCTTGGGTCCAATGGGTTTCACTGATTCCCAGTACCGCCAAGTTGTATCTCCTCATTTCCGTTGCTGTTTGACTGGTCTTCCCGTTCTCCCACATTATCCGGACGTTCCATGTACCTATAAAAATTGTTGCTCTGGTTGTTAGAAGGGGCATCGGCCTCGTGGCTTCCGAAGGAACTCGGCTTTCACCATGAAGCGTCATATTACCTCTAACTCCCAGGGCAGAGTTTAAATGGTTTGAGTTATTTTTTCTGGTTAGCGTTTTTTTAGCGAGTTAGGTTTCTACGGGATGGGGACGCTAACCCCATGCCCAACCCTCCTCCTTTACCCGGGCTTGGGACCGGCAGTAACTCTGGAAGAGCTACAGGCGGAGTTAATTTGATTACTAATAGTAAATTAATGATTTTGGAAATCAAGTAGGCAGAATACACACTGTCTTTTTTGTGGTCTCGTCAGTGATCATAGATGGTTTAATATCTAATGAATATCTACCATAAACACTCGTTGGTTTGGAAAGATCTTCGTTTAGCCTTCATTCATTATCTATATTATCAACTAATGATGCTTATAACACTGATATATTAAGTCAGTGTGAAGGACGTTCGATTTAGTCTTTGAATCTTTAAATACTGACCCTTCTACCAAAAATATTGTCTTCCTGTTAGCTGCTGAGTTCCTCATAACTTTTTATATCACTGATTTGTATTCTCTTGGGTTTTATCTTCTATGCCCGGTCTTTTTTATTACCACTGATGCTGTTACTTCCTCTTCTACCCTGAGATACTCCGTGACAATTTCACCTCTTCGTGTTAATGGGATATGATTGTTTGGACCTCTGTACACACGTACCAGGTTTTACGTTGTGCGTGACTGACTGACTTCCTGATACTATGGGAAATTTGTAGGGTTCGATTAGTTTTGTGATGTATCTCATGAACCGATTTTCCATTAGACAGCCATTGAGGACCAAAAAAAAAAATAAACGATTGTTTCATCCTGGGGTTACACCTAATCTCTTAGGCTTCATGATAGCCACTACATTTGCATCCGATAGTGCGTAACAATGGTATTTTTACACTTGTCGTCATTGTCAGTTTCAGCTTGGGAAAGGCAAGAACTGGTTGATCTGTGTCAGTTCTGACTATGGCGTTCTGTCAGTTGATCTAGCTTTCTTTTGAGTGAGTAGAGAGATGGGGCTTCGACCACTTGCTTGAGGTGAGGAGTTCCATTTGTTGAAAATTTTATAGGAAACTTAGCAATTGTCTGACTAGTTATTGGTTCTGGGTGTGTTAAAGTCTGTAAAATTTTTTCACAGATCCTCTTTTCCGGAAGACAAAAAATGAGGACACTGAAGACCGTAATCCAACCATCTCTACTTCTGCTGTATGTCAGAGTTAATAGGCTAAGTTTACCCAGTCTCGCATCATACAATAGCTTTAGGATTTTAGGAATCAATTTATATGCGGTTCTTTTCAGAAGCTCACTGTCTTTTTAAACAGAAACTAGTTACTTACCTACTTACGCCTGTTACTCCTAATGGACCATAGGCCGCCGACCAGCATTCTCCAACTCACTCTGTCCTGGGCCTTCTTCCCTAGTTCCATCCAATCCTTGTTCATTTTCTTCAGGTCTATCTCCATGTTCTTTGGTCTTCCCCTTTCCTTTGGCCTTGAGGATTCAATGTGACGGCTTGCCTTGTGACGCAGTTGGGTGCTTTCCTCAATATGTGTCTTATCCACTTCCAGTGCTTCTTCCTGATTTATTCCTCCACTGTGATCTGGTTTGTTCTCTCCCACAGTAGGTTGTTAGCAACTAGTTACTTGTATGCAATACTTGAATTTTGTTCAAATGAACACTGCGTCCAAAGTCTATGTTAACATTTAAAACAAAAATTAAAAAATCTTCCCATAATTTTTATTACTCGTGGAATGGAATTTTGACTTCCTCTAATTCATATGTGACTGACTTTTAAACATTGTGTTGTCATTAGGTCGAACTTATTCATATCGTCATCATCATTAATTTGACTATTAGTTCACCAACTTGTATATTGTCGTTCTATTTTATCCTATATTTCTAATCAAAATGTATGAATAAGTAAGAAATAGTGAGAGAATTACAGGAATACATTACAACCTTATTAGACATTTCCATTTATTATTATTATTCTATTCAATTATAATAAATATAAAATGAATTAGTTAATAAGGAGAGAGAGAGAGCAAAAAAAACAACAACCTAATGATAATTCAACTGATTTATTTCATCTGTTGTTTATGTATTCAATATTTATTTTTCATATTTAATAAATATTTATTACAATCGGGATTAAGTGCATTTTATATTTATTATTCTCTGTTTTTGTTATTATTTTATAAATGATTGTTTGAAATTATTATTATTTTCATTATGATCATTTAAAACTTTGATGTAGATATAACACGATTGAAAATATTATAGAAAAATATTCACAAAGTTCTACTGACCAATTGTTAACATCAATAAAATATATGTTTGATTATATGTGAATATACAGTATAGTATAATGTTCGAATGAATTATATATTTTATCAGAAGGGTTTTGTGGAGATTTTTAAAAATTTCAATAGTTGAAAGCATGAGTCAATTGAAGCTAGACCACCATGGAAAACCTGGAGCACTGGACGGCCGTTTTGTCCTAGTATGGTACTTTCAGCAGTGCCGGCTCAGTGGTCTAATGGTTAAGCGCTCTCGCGCAAGACTGGTAAGTCCTGGGTCCAAATCTCGAGGGGAGCGAGATCATGAAGGAGCACTGCTGAGGAGTCCCATACTAGGACGCAACGGCCGTCTGGAGCTTCCAGGTTTTCCATGGTGGTCTAGTTTCAATTGACTCATGGTTTCAACTATTGAAATTATATATTTGTTAAGACTGAACTTATGTTTATATCCAACGAGAAAATAATGATAAAAATAAGAAACTGAATGAGATATGTGTTATAGGTGCCTAGGCATCGATTACTTTAAACATTCAATGTTTATTGGTGTATCAGTAGATTAGAAGAGAAAACTTGAGACAGTCAAATCAAGATTTCATAATTTAATTAACTGTTAGTTTGGATAATGATGCAGATTTTTATGTTTTAACGTATATAGTAATAGTAATTTTTGATAGTCTAAATGAATTCTAGTGAGATAAATGTATTCGTTTTTTTTATGTTTCCTTAAAATTTGCTTCTTAGTATCATCGACAAGTTTATTCATTTGACTCCTTCACTAATACAAGTTGTGAATTTTCACATGCTTTACTTATGTGGTGACTGATAATATGAACTGATACATATTTGTATAAAGTCCTAACTTGTTTACACATAACGGACTCGATCAGCTATGTATTACACAAAAAAATGACTTAATTTCTGATGCCTTCCAATGATTTTAAAATGCATTATTTAGTGTGGCTTCCTTAGTCCTATAAAACCTTTGAAATTTAAACTGTAATGAACCGATTAATTCATCTCAACAAATCAGTACAAGTTAATCACAACACCTATTGAGATTTGACTCTATTCATTGTGTTAAATGAAGTTAATGTAAATTAATAAGTGTTCAAAATGAACTCTTATTTTAGGCCACATCAGTCTGTATTCATAAGCTTGCTTACTCTTGTCAAGCAGGTTACATAGGACAAATAATGTGAGTGTTTTCCAAGCTCATCCCTGGATATTATCCAGCGTGGAGAGTGTAAAATATGCACTGCAGAGGTGTTAACAATCCATTTTTTAAAACTTGAACTCTATATACAAAAGGGGCACGTGAGAAACATCATTTATTTGTAAATACATTTTTATAAACAGTACTTTGATTGTTAATACATACTTCTAGTGTTTTTAATCTCTTTAATTCTAATTATTCTTTATTAACACTCGTTCTTAATTTATTCTTTACCCTTCTCATACTCGTAAAGTGGACAATCATCTTTCATGCATTTGGTTTCATCATATTTCTTCAAATTCTCTATTATTAAGCGGTTTTTCTTTAACACATTTTATGGTGTAATTGTCCCCCTATTTTTCGATAAACTACTTTATGTGTGAATTTACTATAAATATGGTTGCATAGCTCGAGTATATGATATGGTCGAAAAAAAATTTTCTTCGCTGAATAGTTTTTTTTTTAATATCTCTTCAATAAAACTATGAGTTGCATTTGTATTCATATTAGGAAACTGTAATTGTAGATCATAGGTTGTACTGTATTAATTCTCATATGATACAAAAGTGGATAAGTATGAATTCATTCTGTCTAACTTTTGGGGACCTTTTTTATTACTTAGTAATTAATTTAAGTGAAATTTTATTGTTACTCTCCATTCCATTTTTTTACTAATAGTGAAGATGTTTCTTCTGGAAATTCAGAATGGATCGAAGAAACTCGTCTAGATGGTCATACTGATTGGGTACGTGATGTTGCTTGGTGTCCAAGCTTGAATATTTCACGGCAATTAATTGCTTCATGTGGTCAAGATGGAAGATTAATTATTTGGCAGTCGACAGCTAATAATGATAATAATAATGAAAATCGTATGATGAATCGATCGACAGCAGTAAATGATAATAATAATGATAATAAAAACCCAAATTCTAATGAACTAGTAGAATCAAAAGATTTCCAATCTACACAATATTCTACATTTTGGCGTCCAACAATTTTATATACTTATTCCGATGTTGTTTGGAATGTTTCGTGGTCTGTAACTGGGAATATTTTAGCGGTATCTGGAGGAGATAATAAGGTATACTTTCAAACTATAGATTGAATCTGTTTTCTTTTTGTAGAAATGTTTATTATGATTGAATTTTTAATGGTTTGAATTGTACTGTTATTGTTATTTTGACTGAAATGTGATCAGTTTTAGTTAATATCTTATGAGAATTCCCTCGATATAGCCATTATGACACATTTTTTATGTTGAAGTGGAATGTGTCTATGAGTGGAATCTAAGATGTGCGTTTCATCCGACTTTGGACTCGTCAGTTTAATCTACCTGCGTTCTAGCGTTTGTATCCACTCCAGAACTGGAACCCAACATCTTTTACCTCAAACAACGTGTTATCCACTTGTAGATAGCCACTCACTTATGGAATGACTATAACTCGTTTTTTCATCGTTTGGCTTATCTCGTTGTTGATGTTTTCACGAGGTAATCCAGCTGAATAGACCCACATGAGACGAAGCGTCTATCTTGCATTCCACTGGCAGCCACATTTCATCTGATGTACATAAACTTTGCCTATCATGATCATTAAATTGTCATATTTATGATGAAAATGATGAAGTCTATGCAACAATATGACACCGGCTGTTTTTATGGCTTGATGGTTTCTACCAGAAATCGTGTCTTTCTTTTTTGCATTGTTACTTTAAAGTTGTTAGTTGAATATTCTCACTTTCATTTCATTAAAATGAATGACTTATTGATCGTATCCCTTATTTTCTGTCTGCATTCAGTATACTGTTTGATCCTTCTCACTAACACTGATCCTCCTATATTTTTTGACCCTTTTATCTATTCCTCTTGTTGAACTCATCATCTCTTCACACTGACAGTGATATTATGACAACTTGGGCAAATGCACATGTCAGGCTTTATGTCGATTATGACTCGCTGATCGGTTGACTGACTCGTGACTTTTCAAAACTTGATATAATTATTGTTTTGACTTATTTCACTTTTCACTTTGGCATAATCCCTTTATTTTCATTAATTCATTCTGTACACTCAAACCAAAAGTGATTTTTTTCCAGATATTTCAAGATTGATTTATCTGTAGCCAACTTCTCCTTTATGAAGTCATAATAACAATAAATCATGATTTATTTGTTGTTATTTTAATCATTGTTAGTTAATTGCTGTCTATAATAAATAAAGTTCCTCGAATGTATATAATAATTAGAATGTTTGGTTTCATGTCATTTACTCACTTTTATTTTCTTTTTTTCTACTCCAAGAAATCATTCTTAATTCTCGAATCACAATGTCTATCACCTAATGTATTTTGTTGCCTTTCGTACTAATATTATTCCTGGAATTCGCCTTGACAATTTCATCTCGTTATGCTAATGTACTATGGTAACTTGAACCGATATGTGTTAGGTTCTACTTCGCCACCTGCGAACTGACATTGGTTTACATTGGTTCTGTCTCACAATTTTGTATTGGGTGTTACAAAATCTATAATAGCCAATTTGTGTTTACGACTTTTTGTACAGTTAGTATATATTTAGCAACATGTGAATAGGCCATTGAAATATATGTTGCTAGATCATGTCAACACAGTTCTGTTAAAAGACTAATATTTGAACGAAGAATATTCTTTTCGATAAATTCTCTTCAGGTTCTACAATTATATATATATATATATATATATATATATATATATATATATATATATATATATATATATCCGAAATAATAACCTGTTATTGCAATTAGAAGACTTCTATTAGCCACCCATTTGTCCTTTTTCCTTCATATGGTGCGGCTGATGATTTTACACTCATTTTCTGGCAACCATTTTTCAACTACTTACTTTCCTCCGCTTGAATTCTGTATGAAAACTTTTTATCCATTGATTAAGATACTTAGTCTTAATTATTAGGGCACTGTGTTTTTTACTCGTCAGTCAGTCATAGACTATCGAAAATAGAAAGTTCTGTTCATGACTTGTATGTAAACCTGTTTGGGGTATCCTACGAATTACTTAATTTGTGTGTATTGTTTTCTTTTTTTTCTTAGTAATTTTAGTTGTTAAACTCATTTTATACATTTCATATTATGTTATTAGGACTCATGTTCACATTACTATTTAGTCACAATGCGACACTGTGATGCTCTTTTAGAGAAAATCCTCTTTTGTATACACTCAATTTATGGAGATCGGATTGTTTATATTCTTGGATGTCAATGTCACATACTGAACTGTAGAGCATACCACTTTTAATTCCCTGTCCATAAGTAGTATATGCCTAACTTCACTCAGTCGTCTGTCTTCTGAACAAGGTTTTTTATATCATCCTTGCAATTCATTCTTATGTGATTGACAATTAGACATATTTATTTATTATTTTTTAAAATTTTCCTTCAAATAACCCAGTGATAGAAAATATGTGTTGATTATTGTTATGGTTTATGATCTGATAAATAATTCACGATTAAAATGAGTGAATAAAATCTTGATCAATAAATAAAGCGATTTAGCTCAGTGATAACCAACCACTCACGAGACTGAATTATTAATTGAAACCGTCGAATTGAACTGAGATTAAGAATAATTTCACGAGTTCAAATACTTTTTTTTTAATTTTGTATTTTAAAATAAGATGCTTCTTTTCATCATATTAACATTTAAATAAATTCTGTATCACAAGCTGTTGGAGAATAACACTTTTCTGACTACTCATTCACTAATGCATTAAGACCTAACTATTAGGTGTCATTAGATTAATTGTATAGATTTCAGTTTATGGGTTTTCCTACCCAACAACTAATTTATAGTTCTGTGACAAAGTCAGTTGGTGATTTTAGGCTGGACATTGACAGAACTCACTAACTGCCATTGCTAAAAAATGTCGAGACGTGATATAATGAAAACTTTCTCATCTTTTGTTCTCATTTGACTAATGACTGGTTAAATATAAGAAAGTTATCAAAAAATTCCCCATATTCCGCAGAACCATTTATAATGAAATGAATAATAATAATTTTAATAGAAGAGATATGTTTGTATCGTCGTTTTGTTTATTCTTGGAAATAGTAAATTGAGTTTTGTGTAATTACAGAAAGACTATTTTTTCGTACGTTAGCAGCAAACCCAGTTGGGGACAACCGATTGCGTTCAAATAGAAAATTACAGATTCTCTTGGTAAAATATGAGAACTATACACTGAATAGTTCATTTGAAAATTTCCATCATTTGTCCTTTACATTCTGTATGATTCTTCCAAGTCGCGATTCCTTTTTGTTTGTGTTCACTTCAATCCGACCCTCATATCCTTCAGCATACACCACAACAGAAAAGTAATTTTATGACTGCTAAATAGTACAAATCCTTTGTTAATGGAATCTTACCAACTGTGGTATTTCTTGCTCTGATTAATTATAATCATATTAGTTTGTTGATTTTTAATTTCTCCTATATTAAGTTAATTAGTCAGGCGTACGCAACATAGAACCTGACGTATATGTGTATTGGTTACCATATCACATTATCACGAGATGAAATTGTCAAGAGAAATTCCAGGGTCGTAGAAATAGTAACAGTATCAGTGGTAGTAGAGAATATTAGAGAAAGTAAAAAAGGTTGGTTTGAAAAGGAATGATTTCGTGGATTTAAAAAGGTGATGAAATAATCTTGAGACTCAGATATTGGAGAAGATAAAAAGTGAATTCATTCACGCCATTGCAAACAATTCTGATTCTTATAACTTAATCCCGACCGTAGCTGCTACCTTGACGTGGTGGTCGGGCTTGCCTATCGTGATGACCCAACCGAGCTATATTGGCTGGAACACATGTTCCTGCAGGTTCTGGCATGCCAGGTAGGTCGATTGGAGAACGGTAAGACTAAAAGCAGCAACTCAAGGTCTGAGGGCGAAGTCGTACTGCTGACTGTACAGGGGTGTGACAGCAGTAAGGTGTTTCCTTCGGACAACCAGCATCTACAGCGATGCTGCCTTCTCACATGGAAGGAAGGGGTTAGAAAAGGTTGACCCTAAAAATGTCACACCTCACCTTACCCCATGGATTTCCGTCTCCGGCGGTAAGGCCCTTTGAAGAACGGAGCTAACACATTAAAAACCTCTCACAAAAAGGCCGTGCGCGACCGGCCTCAAGTAGTTGTCCCTTGGGCTCTGCGGTCACGCACCCAGGTCATTAAGACCAACACTAATTCGATTTCCTTTTCAGGTTCCTCAAGAAATACCCTACCACGATGTGGGCAGCCGGGAAGTGATATCAGCCCTCATACCCGTAACAGCACACGAGACCAAGTTGATCACATTCAAATCCTTCCTACACCTCCTAATAACTCTCTTATCTCCACGACTAACCATTCTTGCGTCCCTTTATCACCTCGCCCCGCTAGTGCAAACGATTCGAGTACGCGGAATGTTATTCCTGGTCTCCTGTAGCCACGCTCCAAACTACACGTAGTAGCTTTCAACGTCCGAACACTATGCCAAATAGGACAACAGGCTTCCTTAGCTAAGACTTTAGAATCTCGCTCCATCGATGTGTGCTGCGTCTCCGAAACGCGCATACAGGATCCGAGTAGTGTCATTCATTTGACCGCACCATGTCAAAGTAACAAACCAACTCGATTTACGCTTCGTGTATCTGGAAGCCTTGATGCTGCTTCCCGTGGCCTCGCTGGTGTAGGTGTAGCATTGAGTCCTAGGGCGGAACTAGCTCTCCTAGACTGGATCCCAGTAGACAGTCGTTTGTGCACTGTCCGACTAAACGAAACAGTAAGGACTCGAAAAGATAGAGACACTCGTCGTTGCCTCTTCGTCGTCTCTGCATACTCTCCCACTGACTGCAGCTCAGATAATGTAAAAGATGAGTTTTACAGAAAGCTTTCCGACCTTCTCCGAAAAGCTAGGCGTTCAGATGTAGTAATAGTGGCTGGGGACTTTAATGCTCAAATAGGCAAACTAAGCGAAAGAGATAGACACCTGGGTGGATCTTATGGTGTCGCAACTCAAAGAACAGATAACGGCGACCGTCTGTTGCAG